TCATGCCGAAAATCATTTACGGCTTATACGTAATGCCGAATTTGCCGTAATTATGGAATTCCGACGACAAGTATAGGACATATCGTTCGACTATTAATATGAATGAATGCAAAAAAGATCGCTGAAATATCACGTGCATTCCAATTTATAAAATAAAAAAAGGCTTGTCAAAAAATATTTTTAGATTTTTCACTTCTAATGCATTTATTGAAAGTAATTAAATTATTAAATAAATAAATAAATTAAAGAATAGTCAAAATAAATAAATATTATTAATGACATTAAATAAATCATTACAGATATAAATAATTAAAAAATAGTGAAAATGTCTCCAACCCTTCCTCTATAATCCAAGTAACAATTTTTTATAAATCAGTTTGTATATATATATCTATATCTATATATATGTATTATCAAATATATTATATAAAATTATATAATCAATAAATTTTATTTATTAGTTTCTTGAGCTTGAGCCAAACGAGCTTCCAAATCTCTCAATGCTTCTTCTTTTGCTAATAGTTCTTGTCTCTTTTCTGTGATTTCTCGTTGTACTTTTAATTCAATTTCTCTCAACTAAATTAATCGATACAAATAAAATTAGTATAAAATTTTTTTTTGTAGAAATTTCTAATTTAAGTTTTATTACCTTCTCTTCTTCACGTTTCAGTTGTTCTTCTTTCAAACGTACAGTTTGAGTAGCAAGATCGTCAGGTAAATTGCTACTTTGTTCTCTATATAATATTAAATTTAGAATTATTATTATTGTTATGATTATAATTGTAACATTTCCATTTCTCAAACAAATCGAGCATATTTGTTTAACTTACTCGTCTTCAGAGTTGTCTTCACTTCGACTAAGTTTTTCGGTACGATAATTTTCATATAAAAAGTCATGTGTGATTTCTTTCAAATCTTGTAAATGAGAACTATTTTATAACAAAAAAATAATATAAAGTCTTATTATGAATTTAAAGATAATAATAGAAAAACAATGGGATAATACTTACCTCAATAAAGCCGATCTCAACCTTGCAAAATCTGAATGCTGTGGATTGTCAACTATTTTTTTTTAATGTGAAAATTAAAAGGTATTCATTCATATTATTATTAAAAAGAAACATTTGTTATTGATTGTAATGGATTGATTTATACCTTCAACAACACCCCAAGGATATTGTCTTCCACGAACTGGTTTTCCATTAACAATAATTTCTTCTTCGCTCCCAATAATTGCAAACGGTAAAAGTGCCTTTTAATAAATGTAAATATAATTGTAAGTATATTTGCTCAATAGGAAAAAAAGGGTTATTTTATTTAAATACATTAAATCATAATAATAATTAAAAACCCATACCCGTAATTCACTATTTTCTTCGATTGTATCTTCATCATCTTCTTCAAAATCAAAAGGAAAATTATAAATAGGAATGCTATAATGATCAATATCTTCCATTATCTATCATTATCAATAAAAATAATAAACTTTTTAACGGCTTTTTTAAAAAAACAATATTTTCAATATATTTATAATACATACCCTTTTCTTGAAATCTGATAATTCAGCTGGTGTACAAGTATCAGATTTACCAATAACTGGGATGACATTGACACGTGGACTGAGTCTTTTCATAAGTTCAATATCAATTTCTCGAAGACTATTATTTATTTAAAAATTTTTTTTTAAGGAAAAATTTTTTTTAATTAAATAAAATCTTAATAAATGAAACATATTACTTACGAATGACCTGTGGGTGTGATGAAATAAAGAAGCGCATGAACTCTATTATCTCTAAATCTTGGGTTACGTTTAATTCTAGATTCTTCGGCAAGGATATCATCATATTGTCTTTCCAGATAACCCATTATTTCTTGAAAACTAATTGATAAATATAAATATATTTATATATCATTAATATACATCAAAATATATATAGTATTATATTTAAAATAAAATCTCACCAAAATTCATTATCAATATTGTCTCCAAATCCTGGTGTATCTACAATTGTCAAAGCAATTCTTACACCATCTTCTTCCAATTCTATATGTGTGTGTGTGTGTGTGTGTGTGTATGTGTAAATTTTAAAAACTTTTTTCCTTTAATATTAATAATTATAAATGATTTATTAATTAATTACCAACTGTAACTGGTTTAATACGAATTCCTTCTTCGACATGGGCAGTTTCAGGTGAATCACATAATTTTGCTTTTAATACTTCACTACTACAAAGTGTATTAACAAACGTTGTACGGCCAGTACCAGATGCGCCTAATTCAATTATAATAATAATAGTAGTAGTTATTTAATTTGATTGTTAATAATGACAAGATCTACATTTCAAATAATATTTATTAATATAATTAATATAAAGATAATTTATTTTTTTGCCTAGAACAGATAATAAATTAGGTCACATAAAATTAAATACAAATTTAATTTGTCGAGTGGGATGTGTTATATATGTGTAGATAGATATGCATAACTTTCATTAATGCTTACCAACAACCATAAGAGTGAATTGGAATCCTTTTTTATTGTTCTTTTTCCGTCCACCCATTCTCTACATTTTATCAATTAAACAAAATGATCAATCTATGTTTTTCTTTTTAAAAAAGCCTTTGAACAGTTGTTAATGTTATAATATACTTACATGTGCCATCTTTTATATTATATAAATATTTATGAAAAGGTTTACGATGATTATGACTGAAAGAACAAACAAGTCACGAAAAAATAATATTCTAATTAAATAAATTAAATTTTTGCAAAGAGCGTTATAAAATATGTTTTCAGAAAAATAAAAAATTTTATTCTACTGAGATGAAAAATATAAAGTTCAAAAAGTAAAGAAAATGAATTAAATTAGTGACACGACGGCGTCTGAACTAATGGTAACACGAGAAGACGAACCTATTACCGTGATATTAATCTGGTGATTTGATAATCAATAATAAAAAAATCAAAAAAATGATTTTGAGAAATTTTCAACGTGTATCTAATAATTGTAGCAATAATAATAATAATAACTTTATACTTGCAAATAAATTTTTTGATGTACTCATCAGATATCATAAGAAGCATAATAACTACTATCGTTATTCTTCTTTGGCAAAGAGTTTTAATTTAAAGGAAATAGAACAAAAATGGATAAATCGATGGAAAGAAATGAAAAGTAATGATGTAACTAGTAGTAGCAGTAAAGAGCAAAAAAATGAGAAAAAAGAAAAATTTTACGTGTTAGGAATGTTTCCATATCCTAGTGGTATGTTACATATGGGTCATGTGAGAGTTTATACTATTAGTGATACTATTGCAAGGTTTAAAAAAATGCTAGGATATGAGGTATTTATAATAAATAAATAAATAAATAAATAAATAAAATATTTATACTTGCATGCTTTTACTTGTAATATTATTGTAATATTAATAATCCTTTTGTTGATGAGTAAAGGTGATTCATCCAATGGGATGGGACGCATTTGGTCTTCCAGCAGAAAATGCTGCAATTGAACGCGGAATTAATCCTGCAGAATGGACTATCAGTAATATTGAAACTATGAAATCTCAACTAGGAAAAATCCTTGCCGATTTTGATTGGGAAAGGGTTGGGTTTATTAAAATATTTATATGTTTAATAATTGATCAATTTAATAAATAAGTAAATATTCATTAATGGATTAATTATAGGAAGTAACTACTTGTAATAAAGATTATTATAAATGGACACAATACCTCTTTCTTCAAATATATAAAGCCAATTTGGCTTACCAAAAAGAAGCTATAGTGAATTGGGATCCAATTGATCAAACAGTTTTGGCAAATGAACAGGTATTAAATAAATTATCGCAAAAAAATATATACTTTTTAAATATGATCATTTCGGTATAATATTCAATTATTTATATTAGGTCTAAAAACCCACCCAGGTAGATTCTAATGGATTTTCTTGGAGATCTGGAGCAAAAGTAGAGCATCGTAAGCTAAAGCAATGGTTTATCAAAATCACTGATTTCACTGAGGTTTTTAATTTTAATTTATTTTTAATCTATATGCGTATATCTTTGTTTTTTTTTTAAATCAAAAATCTATATTAATTCATATTAATCTACATATTATTATGTATAAAATAATATTTATATATATAATTAGTCATTATTGAATGATCTTGATTTGTTGAATGATTGGCCAGAACATGTTAAACAAATGCAAAGAAATTGGATTGGAAAATCTGAAGGTGCAGAATTTGATTGTCCAGTTACGGTATGTGTCACATTCAAATATATATATATATATATATACATTATATATTCAAAAAGGTTATTAATTATTGTTCGATTATGAGTAAATCCTTTATTTATAACTATAATTGAGAAAAATTTTTTTAATTATTTATGAAAGTATCGATTAAGAGACTGGCTTATATCTAGACAACGATATTGGGGTACTCCGATCCCAATCATACATTGTCCGAAATGTGACGCATGTGTTAAAATTTAATTTTAAAAATTTTTTCATTATTTTTTTTTTAATCACATAGCTAATCATGTGTGTACAACAACATTTTTTTTTAAAAAAAAGATTGTCCCTGTTCCAGATTCCGAATTACCTATACTTTTACCACAGAATGTTTCTTTCTCTAGTCGTGGAGGATCACCTTTGAAACAAATTCATGATTGGGTTAATTGTGAATGTCCAAAGTAATATATATATATATATATATTACTTTATTTTATTTGACTATTAAATTTGTGATGATTGGTGTTTTTAGATGTCATGGACCTGCAAAAAGAGATACAGACACCATGGACACTTTTGTTGATTCATCTTGGTATTTTTTACGTTATATCGATCCTAAAAATTCTACTCGGTAAGTTTTGTTCATCATCATTATTTTATAATAATTAGAATGATTGTAATTATCAAAAATACTAACCAATTTATTGAAACAGTCCTTTTTCTTTTGAGGAAGCATCTAAATATCTCCCTGTTGATATTTATGTTGGTGGAGTGGAACATGCAATTTTACATCTTCTTTATTCCAGATTCTTCACAAAATTTTTAATACAACAAGGAATGTACATTTCAAAAAATCAATCAAATTCCTCTAATTTTAATGAACCATTCAAACGATTAATTACACAGGTGATATATATATATATATAAAATAAACATATCATTAAAAAATTATTATTTAATAATAATATTCGTTGCACTTTATTTAAAAAACCATGTTATTTAATTATTAGGGAATGGTTCATGGAAAAACTTTTAAAGATCCAGTTTCTGGTCGATTTTTAAAACCTGAAGAAGTTGATACGACAGGTAAATTATGGTAAAAATTAAACATTTTATATTTAAATAATCATTATAATTCTTGTATTTATTTTTTTTTATTTTATTTTTGTTTAAAAAAAAAAGACCCTAATAATCCTATACAAAAATCAACCGGTCTTGTACCAATTGTATCTTTTGAAAAAATGTCAAAAAGTAAATATAATGGTATAAACCCGGAGGTAAGTATTATTGTTTTGTTTAAAATTAAAAATTATTTTTTTAAAATTCACATATATATATATTTTAGACAATAATAGATATTTATGGTGCAGATGCAATACGTTTATATATGCTATTTAAAGCACCAGTATCAGAAGTTTTAGAATGGGACGATTCAAGTGTTGTGGGAATGCAAAGATGGATTGTGCGTGTATGGAAGTTAGTTTGTAGTATTACTACTGAAAAAAATATTGAATTATCTAAAAATGATGATGATGATGAAGGAATTATTAAATTGGATATTTTGAAAATGAATAATAATGAAAAAGATACTTATCGGTTTATCAATAATACAATCAGAGAGGTTTTTTCAATTTGAGACTTTGTCATGTGATATTATTGTTACACGCACATATATAATTAAATTATATCTTCAAAAAAAAAATATATAAATATTAGGTTACACGTGCCTATGATGATATTTTTTCTTTTAATACAGGAGTTTCTTCTTTAATTAAATTGACAAACCACCTTTCAAGTGTTTCGCCAAGTCTAAACAAACAAGATCAACCTTCATCAACATCAGCATCAATAGATATTTCACCTGTTTATGTTTATGGAATAAAAACTTTGATAAAGATGATGGCACCAATGGCACCTGCTATAGGAGAAGAATTCTGGGAAAAAATAAATAATCAACATGATGATAATAATAATAGACATAGAGGGCAAAAACAAACAATATTTAAAGAATCTTGGCCTGTTGTTGATATTGAAGGATTGAATGTGGATGAATTTACTTGTGTTGTGCAGGTAAAAAAAATTTATTGAACAAAATGAACATAAATAAATAAATATATGTATGTATGTATGTATTATATGTATTGAATATATTTTCCTTCCATCCTCCCTCAATAGATTAATGGTAAAACAAGATTTTCTATACTAGTTCCTTCAGCATTATTAAACAATAATTCATCAATTGAAAAGTTGATTCAGGAATCTGAAAATGGTCAAAAATGGTTTAATCATATTATGTTGGGCAAAAAAATTAAACGTATAATCCATGCAAATAATGGTAAAATTATTAATTTTGTATTTAACATTTAAAAAAATGTGGTAAAATTTTGCAATTTGTTGTTTGTGTTAGATATAAAATAAACCATGACATCTTGCCAATCAATTCAAAAAAATTTTTATTCTTAACTTTAATTGGGATCATACATACTATGCAGAAATTTTTTTGAATCACATTGAGCACATGATTGGTAAAGTTAATCTCATAATAAAAAATGTTCTTTTAAAGAGAAGAATCTTTAACACCAGAATTCCATGGCTCTGACTGATGATTAAAACATTGTAATTTTGAGGCTCCGAACAGATTAGAACAAAAACCAGATCAGATCAGATCTGATCTTATTAAATTGCAATCTGTTTTGAATCAGATGAAGTAGAAATCATAATTTCTTTCATAAATGATTTTTAGAAGCTAGATCACATGTTCAAAACACGATTGCAATAAAATCCCGTTTTAAAATAAAGTATTGATATAATTATTTGTTTATGTTTTTTTTATCTGTTATTTTATAAATGTAATTGATAATATAAATTTAATAAACATAATAATACAACTACATCGTTAAAAAAAAAATAAAATAAAAATAAAGTATTGGTAAATTTTTTTCATCATCACACCACCATTTTAATGGCTCATTTTCTAAAATTGCTTCAAATATTACTATACTATTATTATTATTATTACTATTGCTATTATTATTGTTGTTATTATCAGTCATTACTACTGCAACTGTTAATTTATTTAACAATTTTTTTTCGATTTTTCGATTAAATCGATTATAAAATTTTTTCAATCTCAATCTCTCTTAATCAATTGTGGGGCACATAATCGATTTTTGTATTCATCAAACTTGCATTTTATCAAAGTTCATTTAGTGACAACATCCTAAAAGAAAATAAAAATAATTGATAATGAAAAAATTTAAATTATTATTATTAATGCCCAAATTATAATTATATTAGCGTTAATATCGTTTGTTATTATTGTCCATTACATACTTTGATCACAAATTTTTCAAGGTATTACGAATATCCTCATAAATCGGTCCAGAAATACGTTTTATTCCTCCTTTGCATGCAAGCCTCCTGATAGCCGGCCTGGTGATTCCTTTAACAGTTTCACTATAATGACATTTAGTTCTTCTTTTCTTATCTTTTATCACATTATTATTAATAACGATAAAAAATAAGATGAGGTGTTATATCATCAGCAAATGTTTTAACCCAAGATAACTTGTAATTATAACATTTCTCCCTCCACTCACAATTTTAAAGTCTGGCTTTTCACCTCGAAGGGTTTTCTTTGTTGCTAGAACTGTTAGACCGCCGATTTTTTGAAACAAGGCTTTCGCAGTTCGCCCTTTTTAAGCCAGACATTAATATGATTTAACACTAATAACTCAACAAATTACAAATAAAACTCTTACCAGATTAACTCAAACATCGAATCATGGAAAATCTCTTTAAGTAGATCGTGCAAAGTTTCATGAACAAAGGTATCCTCATTATTGCTATTCATGCATTTTGTGCTTAGCAATAAACTGTAAAAATCATTTCATTAAATGTCATGCAAATTATGACTTATAATTGGTACAAAACTTACAAATTTCGAAAAATAATTTGAATTTGTCTTTATCTTGATCAGTCAACCCTGTGATCTTGGAAAAGTTATTGCACCATGTATCTTGAATAACATTTAATGGTGTAAAAGAATTTAACATCTAGAGTTAAAAAGAAAAATATTTAATTTCCATTTCTTGTAATCTAGCTCCAAGTCTAAAAGAAGAATGTAAAAACTTACAGAAGAATATTCAAGAGCTATATTAGTTATCGCTGGTGACAAACTCGGTGGTAATTTTCTTCGATAGATTTACCATTATTATTCTCTATATTATCAAGCATAAATTTATTGGTATCAATGTTGCCTATAGTGTTAGAAGAGCCACTAGCAGCTATAATATTGGAGGATAATGATGGAAAGTCAGGCAATATGTTTTCGTATTCTGATTCTGGAATTAGCGTTTGATCATAATCATATTTTCAAAAATATTGGATATTTCTTCTAGAGAGTTTTTCAAAGAACATTTAACAGTTCTATTGTCTCGTTTTCTATCTCTATGATTTCATTTATTTTTTCTAATGACATATTACGACTTGCATCCAATTCTATTATTGTAGGTTTTCTCTTTTGGTAAAGAAGACATTTTTTAAAAAAGAAATTAGAATGACGAATTGCAATACATCGCAACCACCACTATTATTTCTAAGTAACTAATGATAACACTTATTCGCCTCTTAGGTCTCGATCGGATTCTCTTCTTGCCCTTATTCTATTTTTTATTGGAAAGACATTTTTCAAAAATTTTTGATCGACTATATATATACAACCTATTGGTTTTTTTGTTGACGCAATTTAAAAAAATTTTTTTTTTATTTTGGAAAACAATCGAGTCCAAGATGACAAACGTGAATGTTGTTTGGTTGGTTTTAAAGAATATTATTGAAATCAAAACGTGGAATAGAACTTAGGTATTTATTAAGTTCTGATGATAACAAATAGATAATTGGCATCGTTTTGCTTTGCATATAATCATTACTAATATTAATATTAAATAATAATAAACAATTATAAGAAGATGTCAAGGTGGCATGACTGTTAAAGAAGATATGTAACACATAATTATGTAATGTTTGATTATTGGGAAATCTACAAGTGTTGAAGCACACACATTACCTTGAATACTTGACAGTTATTCCTCATGTTCACAAGACTAATCTGACCATGGTGCCTCCGATGGTATAATGATGCAACTGAATTCCAAGGCGAGGGCCCAAGGTCCTGGAATTTATTGAGATTGCATTGCTGTCAAGGAATCTTTGCAAATCCTACCAGTCTTCCCTCACAGCACCTGAGCTGGCATTACCTAGATATGCATGTTAGCTGAAAAGTTGTATTTTGGTATGTACAAAATTAATTGTTTTCCTAAATTCTCTGTTTCTTTGATAAATTTTTTATTTGATTAACTGGATTTATATTTTTTAAATGGGGGGGGGGGGGATAATTGAAATATACAATATACTGCAGATTATTTATTTCATCTAAGAAATGTGGTATGCCACCCCAAAAATACAGCAACCCATGTTGTAACCTCCTAAATTGCAGTACTCTAGAAGAAGATAATACACAGCAATCATCACATGAGTGCTGACTCTCATCAGCAATCGATGCATATATGGTAACAGCCAAGCCTGGTTTGAGGAGAAGTAAGGGAAATTTTTGCCAACCTTATAAAAAGCCTTCCAACATGTTTTCACCTTACCTGTGGAAAAAAAATTCCACGGTTATAAGGAGTGTGAAAGCACCCTGTTGACATGTTTGTGATAGGAAATTTTTATTAAATCTGACGCCTGTGATCAACACCGGATTTATTATTCATAATATTGTGAACCCCGGAGATCTGGGTAGACACGCATTATTAAAAGTTTCATTTCTACCTAGGTGATGCAATTGTTTGTTATTTCAATGATGATATTAAATGTATTGAATAATCATTGTGATGGATGCGAGGGGAAAGGAATTCACACATGAGGAAAGTGTTAAATACCAATATCATGTTTATTTTATTTTTTATTCTAACCAAAATGAAAAAAATTGCCAGAGCAATTGCATGGAATCCAAGGCTGGACCAATCACACCATTACATGTTTCAAGGTCAATCAAGCAATTATTTGAATACATTGGTGCAGTTTTGCAATCTTATTGAAGGGAATAGGTTTGTATGCAATTTAAAATTCTCTCGTGTTAATTAGAGCCCCATCTTTCTTTGCTCTTGTAGGTAGCATTTTACAAAATCAAATTAATTTGTAACTTATGGGATGTACAAAGTAATTTGGAATTTGGGATTCTTGATTTTTAATTTGGGCAGAACCCATAATCAGATACATCATGTGTGTGCTTTCCTGTATTGTGATAGAGTTTGGAGGATTAGTATGGTTTTTAAAATGTAATTGATCATTATCATTGTTGATTACTTGATTATCAAATATGTCTGTGGACTTGGATATATAGCCTTTATCATCAAATGGCAAATGAGGGAGTTAATACATGTTCATAAATGTTAGCCACAATTACTTCTGTTAGTAAATGATCATCACCAAATTCAAAATGTCAAAATAATTTTTCATAGTAGCCAAAATTATTATCCAAAATTATTTTGAATTCTTTGATTCAATAGCCAAAACTCTGGGTGGTTTTTTTATGATCATTAATATAGGGAATATGGAAAAGAATGTTGCCAAAATATTTGGCAAATGCAAAACCAATTTTGGCTAACATGTACCTGTTAGTCTCTTATATGCAGGAAATTTAATTCACAAAACTCTACTTCATATAAAGAATGTACTGGTACAAATTTGTCAAAAAAAGAAAGAAATGAAAATTTGGATATTTTTTTTTTATTATATATAATAAATAGATTAAATAAATATGATTTGACTGATAAGATTAAATTAGTGAATTTTTTCTCATCACCTGGTGGTTTTCTCCAATTTTAATTTACTGGCACTTGTACCTGAATCAACAATCTCTTCAGGCTTGTTTTGGGTTCCATCATCACCCAACTCTTCAATGGAATCCTTCTCTTCAGATTGGTTCATTGTGTTTCATCTTTGATATTGATCACTGATTTTTGGCTTTCCCTGAGTATGGTTGCTTGCCAAAACTCCTCCGGAAATCAATCAGCAGAGTTTCAGAAGGTAACACACTAATTGTTTGGCAGAGTTTTGCATTTAGGGATTTCAACAATTAGCAGAGTTTCCGCAGGTTACACATTAATTGTTTATTAGAATTTTGGCAGAGTTTCGGCAGTCATTAAAAGGTTTTGGCAAGCAACCTTATCCCTGAGAGTCTTTTGTTTTGACATCTGCTTTTTGCAACTTATTAGGTCCTGGTTATGTTTGATATTGTTATTGGAAACTACATAGATAGGTTACCCAAAATTTGGAAAATTTCAAGTAAGTCAATATTGATGGTTAAAGGGTTAGTATTTTTGTAAAGTAACAAAAAAAATGGTCATTCTAGAAAATGGATAAATTACATCTTATTTGAAGCTGATGAATTTATGTTGTTCTGAACCTTTGGGATGTTAGCAAGTTTGGATAGGTTGATGAAACTAAATTCATGCAAAAAATTCCATATCCTGGTAATTTTTCAAAATTATCAGGCAAGCTTTAGTAACTGTACATCCACTGAAAATTCTATAAATGACAATTGGGATCTCCACCAGCAAAAAGGAGTCTGAGATTAAATTATTCTGTGTAATTATCAAACCAACATTGGTTACACATATGTTTTTGATATGTAAAGTAAATATTTCAAGCCTTATATTTCATTATTGTACTAGGTAAACATGGTTTAAATTTTCCACCAACTATAATCCTTATGATAGTGATAATGATAATGATAATATAAACCTACAGTTAATACTACTAAATTGTACAATGAATAAATAGTGAGTACCAATTGCATTATAGTGGATTCACATGATATAAAAATAAAAAATGTAAAGTGAGCAACTGTATTAAAATTGTTTAATTAAAGAACATTTGATCCAAACTTCCAAATAATTAAAAGAATAATAAAAAACAAGATAACACAAACAATTCCAAAAAATCTGTTCAAATTTTCTTTTATCAAATTCTTACAATTAAAAAATTTCCATGATTAAAACCTTTGAATATGTCTCAACAATATACATGCAGCCCAAATTGGTTGGTGATTCCAGTGGTCAAAATTATTCCAATTTTAGAAAGTATATGGTGCGCCGTATCTAAAGACATCAAATGCTGCGCCTCATGCCGAAATTTTTAACACCGATCTTTCCTGATTAAG